ACCTGTTGGACGAGCTGTGTAAATTCACTCCTCTGGTAAAGATATATTTACTTTTGAAAGCATTTAGGTGCAAATTACAACGACCGAGCAAACAGAAGTTAAGATTATATTACTGCTGTGACCTTTCATCTAACGCCATCAAAGGGTTGACATTTACCAAGGACAAACAACATTCTGGTAAATGACAAGGTGTCTTATAAACCACTGTGTGACTGAGTCTTTCACATGTGCTGCAAAACACTAATGCTCTCCAAAAGGTGAACGACAATATTTTGATTCGCTGACCGTCCTTTAGTGACACAAATTTGGGGGCTCTGTGATATTTGGTTGATCAGACTTTGGTCCAGACCTTGAAAAGTTCTGCATGAACGGCCAAGGAACTTAAACCTACTTCGAAACTCTTTCTGTTTCCCTCTCTTAATACTTATATGAATGGTTTACATTTTGATTGAGCTCCAAAAAGCACATTAACAGTGCATTTAAACATCAGTGATGTAAAAAGCTCACTTGTGTAATGCCAGCGTGGATGAGCTGTCCCAGGTGCTATAAACAGACTCCGCACCGCTGCCTCTTCAGAGATCTGGTACGCGTCACATCCTTGAATGGTATATTTTAATGGGTCAGAGGTGTGGGCATGCAAAGCACGCCAAAAACACATGGCTGTGCGTATGTGTTAATCCCCGGGCAGTATATATGTGTACTGCTGTGTACTGCTGTGTGTAAGTAAGTGTCATGGTTAACGTGACTGCCTGGAGCGAGATGAGCTGCAGAGCGTCTGAGACAGCGATAACCGACGTGGTGTCGAGTTCAGCAGCATTCCTCCAGAGTTCACAAAAACTTTTACCCTTTGTAGCTTTTTCTTTAAATTTCATTTTGACTGTTCTTCATTTACACAGGAGAAAAAGACGTGGATGAGGCCAAGAGGAGAAGAACAGAGGTTTGCAACATTCCTCCTATTTCTACACTTTTCATTGTCTTCCATTAAACTGAGCAACCCCCCCTCCTCCTGGCATTTTAATTCCTTGAATTTATGTCCACCTGGAGGATTCCGCACGTGCAGTTACAGCCGCATGCAACAGACTGGTGCCGTCCTGTCCACAGAGAGATGGACGTGCTACATTCAGGGTCGAGTCGACGCTCGTCAAGGCCACGCGTCTCCTCTCGGGATCAAGAGGCTGTGTTGAAATTAATTTGGTAAACATTGTGAAATTCTTCCAGGATCAGTTCTGAAGAACTGTTTTGTCGCAGTATTCCAGTCAGAAGTTCATGTCCCAGTGACAGTAAATCATCCAATTCATCATCTCGCACGGTACAAAAGATCCATCAACAAACTGATGGATGTTAGAAGAGAAGAGAAAGAGCGATAAACATAAACATAGTGTAAAAATACAGCTGGACAAAAAATGCTTTTTTCTCAGTGATCACATATTTTGCTCGGCTGTGATCCCACAAAACTAAACTCAAGTGCTGACTTTTGATATCAACAGAGCAAACTCCATCTGATGAAGTGAGATGCAGCTGAAAGCTCCAGAAAATGCTCGTATGGTAACCGAACATTCTTGAATTCAAAGTTGCCTGATTCAAAAACAATATCTGCTCTTTAAGTTTTAAGTTTTTTCCTCAAAATGTATATCGATACACACACATCGCTCCAGACGCGGCAACGCACCACCTCACGTCACCTCTCTGACGTGATCTCATGAAGAAGGTGAAGCCTGAATATCAGACATGTTTGATAGCTATTGTGGCAGCGCTGAGGATTCTGATGGGGAAGTTTAAAAATTGCAGATACCGATCAAGGTTCCAGACCAGGGTTCTCCTCCGACTCTTGGGATCTGAATCAGGTTATACTGGTCTCATGTTCCTGTAGCATGAGCCAAGCTGTAACCAGAAATTTGGACTGGTCCCCATGAGAACTACTGGAACTACTGATCCTGACAAGGTCGGTTTCTATCTCAACAAATATTTTCTTCAATATTTTCCTGACAAGCTTATTTTTTCTTTACTGGTCATTCCTTTCTCTTCTCCATATACCTCTCTCTATCTCTTCTCTCTCGTCCTGAGCAGAACAAAGCCCGACTGACACCACATTAACACAGTCCAGAGCTCCTGTCATCCTCTCTGGCTACAGGAGAAGCTGATAAGCCAGAATGTGTGACAGGAGGAAAACATGTTGCCCTCCTGCACCCCCCGCGTCTCTTATCCACTTCCCCATTCCTCCGGTGATCCTCTGTGATAGAGATATCGAGAGCCTGAGATCGGTATTAGAGAGAAACAACAACGTTCTGTTTCTGCGCAGGATACAGGTTCGTCGTCTATCAGATGGGATTCCAGGCGTGTTTTGTGGAAGAGGCTGTTTCACTTGGCTGTCGACAGATTCATAAACAACACTGCTGTGCTCTGGAGGGATTTGGACAGTGTTTGTTTCCAGCAGAGTCCTTCAGCCAAAGATAATAATAATTGTCTGACAGGCCCAAAGTTCGCTCAAATCATATTCACACGTGTCAAGGACTTTTGAATGTGAGAAAAATAAATCTGAGAAGCATAAAACCTTTTCAAACCTTCACCTGAAGGCACCGACCATCGAACTTACACAAACCAGAGTGACAAAACACAGGCAGCGGGTCTGTCTGCCTTTACTGAATCACACGGCCTACCCACAATTCACATAACACCTACGGCTCAGCCAAGCCCACTGAGGTTCAAGCAGGAGAATATTAAAGCAAGACGCAGGAGAACAGCAGGAGCTTGTGGAGTTTACTTGCATGTTCCCTGGTTACGTACTCCTTCCACCGCAAATCTAATTGGTTTTGGAGCCACCGTTACTTTTTAAAAAGCCTTCTAAGTTATTAGAGAATAAAAGCCTCTATAAATGTAGAGCTCAGAAACACATACAAGGGTATTTCGCACCAGTTAAGAAAACCGAAATGGAGTTGAACAGGGCTAACAGAGCCTTCGCTTGCCAGCAAATCCACAACAGCAGTGTGGCATACTGTCCTGCACACTCTCCGTGTGAGGATGACGACTTATAGACAATAAAGTGTTGACACTGCAATTCCCCACTTCTCATAATACAAGAGACGAGGAGACGGAGACAGACAGAGGAAGCCGTCCTCCGTTGCGGTTGCAGCTCCTCGCTGTGTCCTTCCTTCCCTTCGCTGGCCGAGCCAACTCTGCAGTCTGCGCTCTGCTATTAATTAAACCATTAAAACAGATTAATAAGCAGAACGGGGCTCCAGTCTCGACAACATCTGATAAGCATTAAGGAGGCGTGCTTTTTGGCACGATGACCCCGATGCCCTTTACTTTGGCTCTCGCTTCGCAAATTCTTCCCCTCCTGTCCATCTCGTTTTCTCTCAGTGAATTTTGAACACTAATCTGAATTACTTGTCTTTTAAGCGGTTGAGTTTCTCTTGTGCACAGTTGATTTTCTCCCCTCATTCCCTCCCACCTGTCTCCCCTGCACAAAGGGTGAGTCGTCTAAATGACTGACGTGCAACACAGACACACACATACACACGCCGCCCAGTGCATCTGTTAGTTGTTCTGCTCTCACACAGGCTGCTGTGTTCCTCTGTGAGTTTGAATACTCAGCCTTTAACATTTACACTTTAACGACTGAGACCACCTGCATCATTGCAACATTACTCTGTGCAACGTGGAGATTTAACAGACCCAAGAACAGCACGTTGCTGCCAAGTGTTTTAACTTGATTGTCTGCAGCGTTGGGTTTATTTTAAGCAACACACTCAAGCAAAACATAATTATTGCGATGCCGCAATGATCATCTGTCACTTCTGTGTGGGATCTTTCAACAGAAACACATTTTGGTGGAATTTGAGGGTTTGACCACATAAAAGAGCAACCCCCCCCCGTCTCACAACAGCAGAGACAAAACCAATATACTTGTCAGGGGCTCAATAATAAAGAGAGTCAGAAAGAGAATAATTCGACACGTCTCTGAATTTTGATTGAAACTGCTCCAGCGTCCTCACGTCAAATGAAACACTGAGGAGCTAAAAGAGATTATCTAAAAACTGAAAATATTTTCAGACTTCAAGGGTATAAGGAGGAAAGATGATAGGAAATGTAAATGTTTGTGTTCGAGAGGAAGACAAGACAAAAGCAATTTTCTGGTGCATTCTCACATTTTATCATGGGACTAGTGGAAAAAATTCTGGAAAATGTCATTCATCGCATATTTTCAGTCTCAATTATTAATTTCTGCACTTTAGCCAGTTTAAGGGTGTTTTAGTTCAAGTCAAAATTCATCTAAAAACAAATGGATTTTGCTGATGCTCTTATCTAAAGTCACGTTTGTGTGCAACAATAAAATAATAAGTCCTAAAGCCCCGACATTATAAATAACCAGTAGTAAAGAACACAAGGGTAAAAGGCAAAGCCCTCTGGCGACACATGAAACAGATGTCTTAGTTCCTCAAATGTATACGTATGAAACAAAAGTGGGAGGCGAAGCGGTAAGAGCCACAGAGAAAAGGCAGTTCATTTTAAAATGACAGCAGCATTTATCGTTGAATATGGAGCAGAAAGAAATGGACGCACAAGATGAGATTTAGAGGAAGAGACTGAAGGTGGAAGAAACAGGATGTGATCGTCCAGCTGGGAGTCCGAGAGTCAGAGGTGAGGGAAGGCCGCCGAGGTCCTGAACACACACAAACACATCGCTGCCTCAGACCTCCACTCCCGCCCACATTATTGGGTTTTCTGATAGCGATCTGCCCTGCGGACCGCTCACACGCCGTTAAGTGGAAGGGCTGCTTATTTTAACTTTTGCCCAAAGTGAGCTTAAGGGCAACCTGAGGCAAAGTGGTCCTGACAAGGTGGAGACCACATTCTTAAAACATGTCCAACCCCAAAGAGGAGAGGCCTTTTGAGATTGAAACACTAAACAAAGAGCTTGTTGAGACAATCAAAAAAAAAAAAAAGGAACTTGCTGCCAAAACCCTGTGAAGACGCTGGTATCCATCCCTCTGTCCTACCTGTGCACTCGTGCTGCAGCCCCTTCCCGTAGTATCCCTTCTCGCAGATGCAGTCATACTGTCCGGTGTGTGTGCCGCACTTGCAGCTCGCCATCACATCGCAGCAATCCCTGCCCGCTTCGCACAGAGAGGAGCAGCGGGACAGATCCTCCTGGATGTAGCCGCCTGTGGGGAGGTCTGTGGGTGGAAAACAAACACTGTGGGATCAGATTACACCGCCTGGCAATCACACAATTTACTTTAAGTGCGACTGATGGTGCAAAAACTTGAAAGTGGGGGTTTCTGGCACAGCAAGTCAAAACACGTCAAGTTGCTTTTATACCAAGTCTTGCTAGAGTTTATCTATTTCACTATTTAATGATGATGAAATAAAAAACACTCATTTGCAAAGGGAAAGTCTAACACCTCTCTTTCCTGTTCTGTCCATTATGTAATTGAGGCTGGCTACAGGCTAGACCTGTGCAGTGTGAAAATAAAAAAACTGCAGCACCTACAAGCCACACATGTACAACTGGCTGAGAAGCAAATGGCCATATCCTTTTTTCCCCCAGTGTATAAACTGCTCCGAAACACAGTAGTGACTAATAAAAGGCCATAAATCAAAAGAAATGGTTTGAGACTGCAATTAAGAGTTGGGCCGGGGGCAAAATGGAAACTTCAGCTGTTTTTCTACACGTCAACCTGCTCCTTTTTTATTTTCCTGTAATTGAGAGAACAGGAAGGTAGAGAAGGAGTGCAGAAAAAGAAGGCGAGGAAGAAGAAGACGGGTAAGAAGAAGACGAAGACAAAAACGATGACGAACACAATGAAGAAGAGGAATAGGAAGGAGGAGAAATGTAATTTTTGCATGTACGGTGCGTGTGCATGATTTCCAGCTCGCTACACGCTCAGTAGTTAACGGTGACATTTTGAGGCGATAGTTTAGGTTTTTATGACTGAATCCTTTTTTTTTTTTTTTCACCAATTTGTGGGAAGTTCCCGTTAAGTGTGGGAAAAGTGCCTTGTTCTGTCCAATCTGTGGAGAAGTGAGGACTAATAGCTGCTGGCAGCACATGACAGAAAAGAACCCATGTGAAATACACGTTGTCAGATTCCATTTTAAAATATTGTACATTCTCTTTTTATGTAAGAACTGAAGTTAAACAGGGTCACTTAAAAAAATATTCCTGCAGGTCAAATGGTGATGATGGAAGCATTGAGGCTTCACAGAGAAAACGAGCAGCGTAAACTTTAATTTACTCAAACACAGGACTACCTTGTGCAGTTAAATTGTGTACGTGGGAAAAGGGTGAGATTTGATGCAGCTGTGTAATGAAATCGCAGATGTTTCTTTTGAATTGGGATTACATGACCCCCAGAGGGCTGTGATCCTGTCTTTAAAAGATGTAAAATAAAAGCAGTTTGATTTCTCCCATAACCCCCAGCTGTTACCCTTACCTTCGTGCAGCGCTCGACGAGCCAGCGCCTCAAACTCTGCAAAGTTGTGCACCAGGTAGCAGTGCTGGTCTTTGGGGTGCGAGGCCATGTCGTGGAGCTCCCTGATGTTCCCCTGCCAGATGCCCAGAGTGAAGATCTCGACGCCGCGTTCCCTCAGAGCTGCCGCCACCGGCCGAGGGTCCCCGCCATTAGAGTAGCCGTCGGTGATCAGGAAAATGACCTTGGTGGCGTTCGAACGAGAGTGACGCAGGATTTGCTGTTGGAAAAAGGAAAATCTCATTAAGTAACTTTCACATGTATGAATCAAGTCTGTCCAGCACTTTCTTTACATTGATTAAACATGAAAAAGTTTCACTGGACAAGATCAACTCAACAACCTCAGCGTAATAAGAAAACTTCATATTATGTTGATTTCCTTGCGTATTTTTTCACATTCTCTCACACGGCACAGAAGCGGTTGCTGAAAATTTGCAACCCAAGCGAACACGTAGGAGAGTCACAGAACGAGTAATGTGCTCGAACCAAAGAGAGGGACTGCTTCTGTCACATGGACATGAAAAATTATAACTAACTAAAATAACTAAATTATAACTCCACACTGTCCCACTCAACAGATTCAAACACTACAATCCTCTTTAACCACCGATGCAAGAATTTTGTCAAACAGCATGGAGACGGTCTGCGGATCAGAGCCACATATCTGCAAATTCAGGGCTCAAATTTAGGCGATTAAAAAAGTGTATAAGTGATAAGCAGAACCATATGTGCTATCCAGATGTGAATCTATTGGAATTTGAGATTTCGTTCATATCGAAATTTGATTAGAAGAGAAAAGTTGACTCAAATCTTAAAAATTCAAATAAGTAGTGCACTTCCAAAGATTCTGGGAGTCTGATCTGTGAAGTGCGTAATTTTTGTGCCTAATGAACTCATGCTGTTCCTGTAATTATTGCAAAGGTCGACCATTCAAATACACACGTCCCACGCTTTGCTCTCCCTGCCAGCACGTTACCAACATAGCTCCAGCTTTGGTGACATGACTAAATTCAATAACGAAGAACGTCACACACGACCACTAAAAACAGCCCTCAATTCTAGGTTTCCTCAAAACCCTACATCAGCAGGACAGGCAACGAGGGCAGCGCAGGGAGGAGGGACGAAAAAAAAAGAGGAGAAAGCTCGACAATTGTAGTTATTTCTCCTGCAGAGTACAGACTGCCTGCCAGTGGTCGAAAACCACCGGGCAGCACAGACCAGGCTGCTGTGTCCGCCCCAGACACCGGCTATAGTTCCCAAACTAACTTTAGCCACCGTTTACAATCCACCACATACAATTAGACAGGACATTAAAGTCAGAGAAACATATCTTTATTTTCTCTGGAGTAAAGAATAAAAAATAACGGGACCATCTGCTCGCTTTGCCGGGGGGAGGCCAAGCTGAAAGAGTCTGGTTTTGTTTTGTGTGTTTTAAATGAGGTTAAGAGGGTATGTGGATGAAAACCAGTAAACAATGGATGAAAAGAGAAGAGCAAGATGAGCCAGGATGAAGTAAATGGGACAAAAATCCACTTACTTGAAAGGCAGAAAGGTCATGAGTGTGTTGTGAAAACGGGATGAAAACAAAGGATGTGTGTGAGTCCAATCAGGATATAATAGCTACTTATGAGGTGAAGAGTGTGGAGACGGGCAAAGGGTGTGACCGCCGAGGAAGGGAGCACGAGAGAAAGCTCTGGTCTTTATTGTCTAATTGGCCGAGCTTCAAGCAGCGACGTAATTACAGAGCCCATGAGGCGAGGGAGTGAAGGAGGGAAAAGGATGGAGGGAGAGAATAGAGAGGAGGGTGAGCCTGGTTTTCTCTGATCCTCAAAGCTCCAGGCCGCCTGCTGCTCTCGCAACCCAGCAGTCGGTGCACCCCATCGGGCGGCCACCGCACCCTCCCTGGTCCTCCCTGGCTCGTGTACCGGCTGCCAGCAGAGGGATGCTTCTGTCATTTAAGGTCTTTTCATGCTCGATAACCGTGATTGTCGTCGTCTCCTCTTCGTGCGTGAATGTTTGAGGTGTTTTATTAGGCGTCAGGCTCAAAGCAGTGCTGCTGGGGTCACAGTGGGTTCTGCTTCGGCTATGAGTCAGCGGTTGGTGTTAGCAAGTGCGGAGATGCCACCAAACGGAGCATATACGCATGCATACCCACTAATAACAGCCTTGTGAATAGTCCCCACATACTTTAGGTTAGAGTATTAACATAAAGGCAACCGCAGGAGCCTGTGTGTGGGAAGGGGATGCCCTTTACAGCAACTCTCTGCATGCACCTTACAATTCAAGGCATATGCATTGAACCAGGAGTTACATATAATACAAGATAGAAGATACAAGATGATTATCGTGACAGGGTTTGTACATAGTTTAGTGTGAAATAAATTAGGAAGTGAAGCAGACAAGGAAAAGTAATAATCAGATAAATACAGTAATAATAAAATATAGTTAATATTGAATTAAATATCAGAGAAGGACCCAACTGAGCTGTGTGAATTTGCTATTGCGTTCTTGCACCACATGTTTGGAATAAGCTGCAAGCCATCCTCACCTTGGAATCGTTATCCTCGCTCAGCATGTTAAAAAATCTTTTTAAATCAGTTTTATAGAGCAACGCAATGCTTTTAACGTGTGTTTTCTATTTCCCATAATTCATTTTTGCCATTGATTCCCATGTTTCTTCTTTGCTTGTTAATCTGTTTGCTGTATTTAGTGTCGTATGTGAAAATGTTAGCTCAGGGCCTCTCTCTGTTGTCCTTCCTGTGCATTTTTTCAATTACACACTTGGCAGACCCTTCAATGCCAGCATCTGTCCGGAGAAGAGATAATACGCCTGCAGCAATGGGACAGTTCGAGTGTGTCTGGTGTGGAGCCGATGAGATCTGTCAGAGCAGCGGTGATAGCGCGGGGACCAGAGGGCCGGGGGGGATTAGTGGTGAGAGCAGCGGATCCATCTCCCTCCAAGACGCCTCAAACTTTGGCAAGAGGCAAAAGAGAGAGACGACGCTCCACATGTGCAGTCGAATCAGATTTACACACATGCTACATGTAGATAGTAAACTGAACATAAAGGAACATAGTCGAGTAAATAGATGAGGAGGATACCAGTGTACAAATACTGTTGCAGGTTTCCTCAAAACCGACATGACAGCGCCCCAAAAGTGATGCCATAGTTTTTCAAGCGTCCCCTGGTGGCTGGCTGCAGTACTTGTCGTAAAATCCTCCTCTTCCATGTTAGTGGATGTGACATTGAGCAAATGAAAAAGTTTTTTTTTTTCAAAGATGGTTTCTGTCATTTTAAGTAGTCTAGGGTTTGGGGGTCATAATGTTTTTGGTTTAGTTGTAAAACATCCTTTCAAATACCATAATTTATAGTATTTAGGATAAATTTGCATTGTCCGAATAACACCAAGAATAGTGAAAGTCTAAGTACAGGACAATCTTTCTCAGATGGATTAAATTCATACAATTTCATTACTTCTTTTTTTCATGAATAATAAAGTAGATATGATAAATCAATTCAATAACAAACTTGTATTTCAGATATGCCACATGCAGAACAATACACCTCTCATTTTCCAACTCACTTATAAACCTCTAATATTAATGAACCATATTAATAACTCCTTCAGTCCAGTGATGACAAGGTGAGTCCTCATCCTCAAAGACTCGACATCTCCGAACAGATGCTTGTATGATCGCAACTTCAAACGAAGGCACCACGCTGCATTTGGCACGAAGGACTAGGAAACCTTTCCACACCTTGAGGGGCCGACGCCAGTGCCAAGGTGCTCCAGCTGCTAATCAAAGGCTTATATATGCATGGCAGCTATTCTGAATGCTAAATGAGCCGCACCCCGATCACCTACATGCTGCTTCAGCCTCCAATCATTCCCAACGGAGACTTTGATCAGAGCCTGAACCCACCTGGATTCAAGCAGAGCTGGTTAATGATCTGAAATACACTCAAAGTCAACATATAAGAGTCAAACGTTTTCCTTCATTTCTTTTACAGACGACTCGCTGCCAAACATTTTTATATGGTAGGTACAAAGTAGGAGATGCTTTAAGCAGGAGCGTCAGATCCAAAGATCAATGAACTGTTTGTTCCGTTGTGAGTGCAGCGTATCGATTAAGTAAAAAGAAAACATCTGCCTCAATGATGAACACAGAGTATGAGGTTCAATAAAATGTGTTGAGCAGTGAATCCTGGAAGCTACATCAAACCTTCTGCTTCATAACTTCTCTTGGACCAACTTCTTGCAAAGATTTCTTTCTAGTTTCTCAGGGTTCTTCGGCTTTTTCAAAAAAAATGTGTAACACACTTTTTGCTTTAGCCACGTACATGCATCTCCCTGAGCCAGAAAACAAATCAGACTGTGTATTTGCTGTTCCAGGGAAACGGTTCAGTCCAGAAGATCGACAACAATAAGGTGAAGCTAACTTAGTAATAGTTATGCATCAATTAACATGAGAAAATCTCGATTTGTTCACACAAACAGATCCTTCAGTGGCTACACTGATCAGGGATCCAATAAAAAAGCAGTTGAGTATGATTGTAGGTGTCAAAATTAATGGAGCTGCTTTTTCTTGAGAGTGAAAAACAATTTATATACAAGGATCCTAATTAAATGATTGATTACTGTAACATGAATGCATAGAAGAGTGAAGCATATAATGATTTTAGAATTGCATAAAAAGTGAGCTTCATGCCTGAGAATAGAATTAAAACCTCTAACAATTCTTGATACTTGAGTTTTCAGTCACCACCTTCACCTCACACTGTTTCCTCATGTGTCACTAACAGAGAATGAAGACCACACCACGGCATGAGACAACTCTATCATTTAAACCGAGATCCACCTTCTAAAAATAAATGCAAAACCCTTATTTGCAGACATTCCAGTGCAGCGCACCAGAAACGCAACCCGACTGCATCAGTTTGGAAAAGCTTTCTCCCCGTCGGTCGGAAGCGAGAGCGCTTGTTTTTACAGGGTATCTGCTCTTGGCTTGGGTGGTAAGAATAACAACAACAAGCCCGCGGGGGCCCGACAGAACAACATGCACACAAGTGAATTACACACACTCCACTCAACTTTGGTTTTGTTGAGCAACATCTCTGGGACACATACTTTGGATATTTGAGATGAACTGGGTCACTTACAGAGACACTTCCTAATCTAATGAGTGAAAAACCGTGATCACTTGAGCCACATGTTGCTT